AACACAACTCTTATTAACTCGCTCCTTGACTTCTTGCCCACATTCTGAGATACTAACTGCTTTAAAGTATTTACTTTATGTTAGTAGCAGTGTCCCACTAGAGTCATTCCTGCTGTTATACTGCAGTTAAAAGCATCCCATGGCACTCAGCAGGCTGGAGCCCAGCTAAGAGCAGGGACAGGCAGTGTCCGGACATTGAGAGTGCCTGCCAGCAGCTGGATTCCTGCAAAGGGGCACAATAATCCTTATGAGGCAAAATGACACCAATTGACTTATGCAACAACCCCTCTGAGATCTGATTGAGGGCTACATCTCTAGTCTGGCTGACAATATTACAATCTCACGTAGTGGCCCTGGAAGGATATTTTTTCTAATATCCAATCCAAACTTCCCCTGGCACAGCTTGAGGTTGTTTCCTCTCATCCTGTTGCTTGTTACCTGGGAGAAGAGACCAAATCCCACCTGGTACAACCTCCTTTCAGGCAGTTGTAGAGAGCAATAAGGTCACCCCTGAACCTCTTTTTCTCCAGACTAAACACTCCCAGCTCCCTCCTCCACTCCTCCTCAGACTTGTGCACCAGCCCCTTCCTGTCATGTTACACTCTGAGTTAACCAGCTGACAACAGTTGTGCTCAACCTTATGTCACCAATTAGTTTTCAAGCACACAGGTTAATGCAGAGCTTTACAGTATAGACAGCTTCCTTTTCTGAATGGTTGCCAATAACCAATTTACTCGATGATCTATGATTAATTTGAATCTTAAAGTAACTGTCGGGAAATTATGTTTGTCATAGCACTGGGGTTGTTCAGAAACTATTGGTTAACATCCCAAATTAACTGGAAAATCATTTGCATCTTGTTTTACTTTCTAGCAAATTAAACCTTCTCTCTCCAAACCCGTTTGTGTAAAAGCAAGAGAAAACTGAAAATGTCTTGCAATGTGGAAATTATGTAATGAAGTAAAAAATCACAAAGTCTTCATGCTGATCCCCCCCAAAATTTTGCTGCTTCATAGTATTTATATAGATTACTGGCATCAATCTTCTTTGCTCCTCTAATGAATCTAATAAGCCTGAAATTTTCCTGGATGGGATGTTTCATCCAAATGGCTTGAGAAGAGTCACACTCATAAAGTTTACGAAGTGATTCAGGAAATGCAATACAATGAATCAATTCTCTAACTACTATTAGGGAAATAAGCAAATATTTGATATATTAATGCTGAATTCAGAAACACAGCTGACAAAAGAAATCTAGAATACTTCTATGTCTCATATAATTCACTTTGTAGCATTTGACTCACTAAAAATCAGATTTAATGCAGACTATTAAGGTGTTACCTTTAACAGAAATACCACTTTAGTCCTTTTTACAGTAGTGCCCCAGATTTGGTTCTGATTATATATATTTTGCTACATGTAAAGAGGTACTCTGAAGGCATGTGTTTCTTTTTGAAATACATGCAAACCCTGACTACAACATATAACATAGTGTGTCTAAAAGCAGGGATCCAAGAGCCTGGATATCCTCTGTATTGAGAAATACTTGTTTATATACTAGAAATGTCTGTTTATGGAAACTACTACTAAACATGAAAGCTTTGTCTCTATAGAAAAAACCCCATGTACTATTTAGTTGCCCCAAAGTTTATATTTTCCTAATCAATCTGAAACATAAATATTTGCAGTCAAATGTTCCTAGCCCTTATTTCCTCCTTCCTGTTGTAAAATTGTATCTTGCTGTAAATGTTGTGATTCCTAATAGCAAACAGAAATCAATACTCTTACCAAAACAATACTCTTTACAAAAATATATTTACATCCTTTGTCTCAGGAGACTGGAAGACAAAAAAAAAAGAAAGAGCCTTCATGGAAGTCAGCTGTTTTCTGAGATCTCTGACTTCAAGGCAGTGCCTGCTCAGGTGTGGTAAATTCACAAGGTACAAGGGCCTTTCCTGTTTTGCCACAGTTTGCCTTTTGCAACTATTTACGTTTTTATGTCTGCAAATGCAAATATCGACAAAATATTGACCACTGCATCACAGATACAAAGTTCTATTTTTTGGCTTAGACTGTCTTGTAGTTTATTTCCAAAGAAAACATCCAATTGTACCATTCAATTTCTGACAGCAGGACAAAGACAGAAATGGGAATAAAAAATAATCGGACTTTCCTCTGAGCACTGACAGTACTGTACTGGGAGATGTGAGCCTAAAAATACCACTATTCAATATGCAGACCCACTCCATGGATTTCTTGCAGCTACAGGTACTGGGCTGTTATCAATAAAAATCTCTGAGGACAGGAAAGATGAATTCTAAAAGCACCAGAATCTTTGAGAGAACACAGAGGGTTTAACCTTCACATGGCAAAAGCACAGTGTGGAACTAAAGAGGTGCTATAAAACCCTCTAGCAATACACAGGGCCTGCTGCTGGGGAGATGTTCATGATGAGCAGAAAGGTCAATGGCACAGCTATGGGCAGTGAGAGCTGCAAGAGGACAGGACAGCCAGTGTGGGGTTCATTCCATTCTGTCACCATGAAAGGCTGCTTAAAGGGGAAAGACTTCACTGAGTCCTCCACAGCCACTGTGACAAATATTTCTGTCCCCACCCCATTTTGGTCATAGTTTTGCTGTTTGACTTCCTGCTGAGCATTCCTACAGAGAACATCTATTGGGCTTGCTCAAGGGGGGCAAGAGCCAGGGGATGGAGCATATGGGAGGTGAGAGCATCCCACAGCAAACTTGGCTATGCCCAGCTCATCCAGGATGAGTGTAACATGGAACAGGGAATGCAGCAGTCAGTCTGCCCCGAGGAATAGGGGAGGACATTTCCCAAGGAACAGAGGTGACAGAATAGAATTGGGCAGACTCAGCCACAGTGACTGAAACAGTCTGGGTGTGAAGACCCACTTGTGAGGGCAGGGGAAGCTGGAGTTGAAGGAATGAGTGATTTAAAATGCTGTTAATTTCTATTATATCTGACTGCATTGCTTTGAATTCTTCATATTTACAAAGATTTTTATCCATATCAGAACGACACAGAGCATTTTCCCACCTTAGTTTCAAAGCTTGTTTATCTTTGAGGAATTCAAGGTCGAAACAGATTCACCTTAAATGTCTGACACAGGGTGAGCACTTCATCAAAGCCTGCCCTGTGTTTCAAGGAAGTCCTTCAACACAGATACATTGCCATGAAATATTCCTTTTTCTTTTTTTTTTTCCCCAACAAAACATTTCCTGATTAAAAGCAGCTCCAGCAATGATGAACAAGGCAGGCTCTAACTAATCTGAAAAACTAATTGTTCTGTATTGGTATCCAGCAGAAAAATACAGGATAAAAAATAGCTGAAAGCCTCCCGTTGTCATTTGGTATTTTTTCTGAACCTAGCTGGGAGAGAGGCTGCTTGGCCACTTCCAGGGCCTTCCACCAGCTGGGCTGATTAGCCCAGGATCAGTGTAACTTCCCTTGCCTGTCACTGGAGGCACTTGCTGCCAGCTGAGCACACTCACACGGGCAATTAGCAAGGCTCAGCCAACATGTGATAACTTGTTAAGCTGCAGTAATGTTTATTTTTCCTTTCAAGCCTCACACTAAGCAGCAGTGTGAAGCAAAAGAGGTTTTGAGAAATAAATGAAGGAAATCTGTGCTGTAAAGTAAAAACCAGGAGCTTTCCCCCCTCCCCCCACCCCCCAGCTTGCATATGGATCCTGATAGAAAACCTTGCAAAGAGGCTTGTGAGTGAAGACTAGTCAGCTTGCAGTTCTGTATAGAACTTCTAAGAAGTGGAAGTTACAGTAAAATTATCAGAACACTTCTATCTTAGGCCTAAACTAGAAATACATATATACTATGCATATATAAATATATAGGATCTATAATCCCCTTACAATATCTATGTTGAATTCAGTAGATACACCAGAGTACTTATTCCAATACAGTTAAATTAGATGAGTTCCTTATTTTGGTCATACATCACTTTTTAAAGTGAAATAGAAAAAAAAGGGTGAAATACATTATTTAATACTCATTTATCATCTCTTATTAGAATTCTGTCATTGTGCCCTACTATGGGAACCTACAAATTCTGTGCATTTTGTGAGAGTACTAATGAGAGTACTATTTCAGAGTACTCTGACTCCGAAATAGTTTTAGTTTCAGTGATTGATATGAAAGTTACTTGAAATCAGCTTATAATTAGCCAAAATTGTTAATGTTGTGATAATAACTGTAACAGGATTGTAACTAAACATTTTGATATGGCAAAAAAATGATGCATCAGAGCTTGTCATTTTATTGGCAACAACCAACACACTCCTTTCCTTACTTTCTTCATACTGCAGGTACAATTTTGGGGTTTTATCTAAGTCAAAACTGAACAAGCTTCTTCAAGAATTTTTTACTTCAGTGGACACAAACAGAAAAAACTTTCCCCTAAAAAAATCCCACCCAAACCCCATTTTCCATTATAACAATTTAATTGCACCACACAAGGAATTTAAGTATTAATGAACTGAGAGTTAAACCATCCAAGAAAGGTCTTGCTAGAAGGTAAGCTGAAGTGAAATAAAATGAAAATTTTCATTTATGAATGCAAGGCTTAACACCAAGCTTCCAACAGTGAAACTGGTGAGACTGTCTCCTCCTCCATCCCTCTCTTTTAGAAACATCTCTTTGTAAATGAACACAAACTAACAGAAGAGGTACCAATGTGGGGGAAAAAACCCTCCACAGCCAACAAAACCAAACCCAAGAAGAAGGAAAAAGGTCCCCCTCTTATACTTGCACATTTGCTTAAAATAAATGTTTGCCGAAGTTTATGAGCCAAAAATCAAAACAAATTCCCCTCAGCACTGCCAAGGTGTTTATTGAATCACATGACTGGGAACGGAGCCAAGCCACCTCAAACTGCTGTTCCTGTGGCATAAACAAACCTGAAACTGGAATAAAAGGGGCACGAGGCACTCAGCTGTTCAAATGAGATAAGGCCAACTCACACTTGTCGTGTAAGCAGCTTCAGGGTCATCCTCCAGCACTCGTGACAGACCAAAATCAGAGACTTTGCACATGAGGTTGCTGTTGACCAGGATGTTCCGTGCTGCCAGGTCCCGGTGCACGTACCCCATGTCTGAGAGGTACTTCATGCCAGAGGCAATCCCCCTCAGCATTCCAACCAGCTGGATGACTGTGAAGTGGCCATCGTGCTTCTGCAAGGAAAGGTGCAAGTTCAAAGAACACGTTCATTTCATTCTAGCAATGTTAACTACAGCTCTTATTTAAAGCACATTTGTAACCCAGCCAGCCAACATGCTTGTTTTGTCAAGTATTTGACTTGGTCTGCAGTGCATGCCATCTCATCTCCCATTGTGCAGTTTATCCCCATTTTCTTCCATATTTTCACACATTCCACAGTCTTCCTGCTGACAAAATTTTATATCTTTTATAATAGGTTACTAAGAACACCTTCCCCAAACACTGTTTTTTAGTACAAGAATGAGAAAGCACACAAAAATCTTCTCTTCATCTTTTACTCTCTGGCCTCAGGAAACAAAGAACCCTCTTTTTATTATCTCAGCCTTGATTGTCTGCATTGAGGTACTGCTGCTACCTCACTTTTTTTGCTTTTTCTGGGGAAGGTTTCTTTGTTTAAAAAAAAAATGCCAGAACAGCCCAGAAAAAGTCTGGAGCTTTATCTCATGTTTGTTCTGCACCTAACAGCATATAATCTCTGAATACTAGATTAAAAAGGAGATTTGGGCTGAAATTCAGGGGTTATTCCAAAGCTTTTCCGAAGTCTTCCTGGAAGAAAGCCCTTAAGCACAGCCCCATGAATGCAGTAAGCTGCTTAACTCCTATTGGTGTTGAACATGTAAATAAGAGTTGTGTCATTAACCACACTTGTCCAGCTAGTCAGTCTTTCTGGGCCTCAGTTTCCCCATCTCCAGCATTAGAGTTAACATTTCTTTATGTCCTACGTCAGACAGCTCATGAATTATGTAGCAGTGGGAACCAAGTGAGTACATGTATAGAAATGTGATTATGGGCTCTTTGCCTTTTTTAGGTCTGCCCTGTCTACCATTTACAGCAGACTGCTTACAGGATTATTTTTGTGACCTCAGCTGGCAGACATTTAGCTTCTCATGGATTATTCAGTGAGCCAGGCTTTTATGTTAGGAGGAACAGCCAAACAAAAACAAACAACTCTCTCCTGCAAGCAAGGTAACTTTTAATTTTCTCCTCCAGCACCTTTAGCATTGGGCAACAGAGAAGTAGCAATGTTCTGATCAGCATTCAGGACACTTCTACTGCTTAGCTGGTACATTTAAGCAAGATGGTTTTTTGTAGGGGAGAGGCTTACAGTAAGTTCAGTAAATTAATTAGATTCACCAAAGCAACAGGCTGAACTGTATAGATATGCTTAACTTTATCCCTGGTCAGCAAAGTATTTCAGCATTTCCATAATGACTCAATGGTTTGGGGCCTGTATTCAGCTCGTCAGGATATAAATATTTAAAGAATAAATAAAAGAAATCCAGAAAGAAAATGGTAAAAGGAAAATACCAACACATTTTGTCAGCTAGAAGACCTCACAGCCTCAAGACACAACTGTGATAACCAGACATTTTACAGAAGGTCATCCCCTCTTATGAGCCTATGACATTCATTATCACAGGACCCTACCACAAGAATAAGGGTTATTTCAGAGTCCAAAATATACCAGTGACAGATATTTTAAATAAAAACATTCCATCTAGCAATTAAGATAATATTCTTAAATACTTTAAGCCTCTTCGATAAAGGAAGGAAATGGACTTTATCCAATGCTTTATGTAATGAGGCCACACAGGATTTGGGTTTTGCTTTTCATTTAATACTTCTAAATGTTCAATTGATTTAAAAATTATGAAGCTGGCTGCCAACAGTTAATACTCTTCACACCATGTATGGATAACTCTTTTTTATCTAACTGTAGAATTAGGATTTGGAACAAAGTGCCAGCACCTGACTTTTGCAAAATGATGAATCAGGTCTCTCCCACCTCCACAACAAAACACCAAACAAAACCAGCCCCCAAACCTCTAGATTTCACCTCCTGCTTATCTTCCTTAACAGCTCCATTCTTTCAACAAACCTCGGATTCATCTGCAACACCTCTCTTAACCTTTTGTCCTCTCACATCACAAGCATTCCTTCCTTCTTTTTTTAATTTCTGCTCTTTCAAACCTAGACCATGCTTGATTAATTTTTCATAAAACATAACCTTTTTCTGCTCTTTCCAATTCTCAGTATTTGCCTTACCAGTATAGCAGTAATGCTTGAGTTTAAAACAATCTCATGCTTTTGCCATTCTCTCCCTCCTTTCAAATTTCTTTCGGTTTCTACCTTGACAAAAAAAGTTCAAACTTATTATCTTCACCTTTGAAGAAATGACAGACCTGCTAACATACGACTTGCAATTTTATTCTGTCCTCCTTCTCCCTCTGCATATTTCTCCAAATCCTCTGCTGCATCTGTTTTCCTCATGCTTGGTTTTATATTGTTTCACTGCCAGCCTTGCTGTCGGAACAACTACATTTTTTCCCACCAGCAAAACAGTCTTCTCTCTCAAGTCTCTTTTTAATCACTTCTGCATCTGTTTCTGTGCCAATTGTGTTCCCACACAATCTATAAACTGTTACCCTTCAATATATCCAAATATCTGATCTGGATACAGACTGTGGCCATACCTAACCCTTGGAAAATTCAACTAGTTTGATAAAGTTATTGCAGATATGAATCTGGCCCTGTATCTTCAGCATGTGTAAATCCCCAGGTGCAATCCTTTGGCAACTTTCCATTATCTTGTTTCATTTGCTTGTTGTTTAGGGACATAAAACACTCATCTGAACGATAGGGTGGTTTTTACCCAGGGCTTTATTCTGATTCCCATAGCTTAGATTTGAAATATGCTTCTGATAGGATTCCCACTGGGCTCTTAAGGGCGTTAATCAATACTGGCAGCCATTCAGAAGTCAGTGGACTCACCACATTTATCCTATCATTCCATTAAATTTTAATCAGGCTTTAATGGCTTTACTAAATAAACTTTTCTCAACAGCTGAGTATAGATGCAATGTCTGAGTAGTTGCCACTGCATTTATGCAGCGGTGCAAATGCCCTGAAAAAAAGCATTTTCATTCAGCTACAGTTGGCTTCTGAAAACCTTATGTAAGTGAAATATTCTCCTCCTGTTACAGACCTTTCAAGAGCACTGACATATAATGGGCTGGTCAGTTCCTGCAGGGGAGGAAGGATGATATCCAAAGTTTCTCTCATTTCTTTTTACTGTCTAGTTTCCAGCTCCAGCGTGCACTAGTTCAGTGCTTTTCTACAAGCCCATGGAAATTTTCTTCTAGAGAAGGTTTTTTTTTTCTATTTTACTCTTCAGTAACCTTTTGAAGGCTTGGTCACTGGATTTTTCTGTATTGTTTCTAGACTTCCATCTATTCTAAAGTCCACTTTTTTATTTGACATATAATTCAGAGCACTTTTATGCCCTTATGCTCTAAGAAATGTGCAGGATTTGCTACAGGTCTAAATATTTTACTGCAGATTATTTACATCTTATTTTACATGGAGAATAGCATTGAAAATGATGTGTCTGTGACTAACTTAGATTATACTCACCAGTGTCAGATCCTACTGGTCACTATGTGAAAGATGTAGTTTTTGTATGCATTTCTGTTCTACCATGCAAAGAAAATGGTAAGATTTTATCAGCTTAAATCTTCCAAAATTCAACTTGCAACTTGGTATTGCTAGGCAGTATAACCCATGTTTCATACTATCACGTGTAACACAATCAGGTTTATATTATTGGCATGGAATGAGGTCAACTGACAATTTCTTCTTTAGTCAACAGTTAACAGAGTTCCATGCGGATTTAATTAATTATTATTAATAGGCTTTATTAATTCAATTAAATATAATTACTCTAGTTCATTTTATTTGCTAATGAGTGATCTTAATTGACTCTTCAACCATTAAAAATACGGGAAATCTTTATATTATTCAAAATATTTGCACGATGAACCCCTTCCAAGGTTTATTATGAGATGCAAAAACTGCCCTCTATTCTGGACAGCACAACAGTAGTAGCCTTGGGGTCCTGCTTTCCTCACTCAGCTACAGCAACAAGGAGGGGATGTCCTGGAATAATCGAGTGTCTCTGCCCACACTGGTGCACTGGAATACAGCTGACACAGAGTCACAGAGGTGGAAGGGACTTTGAACAGGGAATAAATCATCTCTTCACTCTGTGTCATTCCTGACATGCTTTTCTAACCTGCACTTAAAGACTATCAGGGCCATTAGTTCTTATCCTATACCATATCTTGAATAAGATGCCTCCCTCGAGCAGGGGCTGTGACTGGCACAGATTGCAATTCCTCTTTGCAACTCTTTCATATGCCCATGAAGACTAAATATCTCTCTTGCCCTTTCCTTTGGGTTTCACACTGGGTCAGTCCACACATCTCATCTTCTTGGTAACTATTCTTTTTGATTTTGTTGTGGACTCTTTGTTCACCTCCTCCATACATTTCCTGAAGAATTAAGGTCCAAACAAGAGAGTACTCTGAGCCCTCACCAATGTAAAGGGAGAGAAAAATTTACTTCACAGATCTTGCAGGGGATACTCTTCTTTCTAGTTTCCAGGGTGCCATTTGCATTTGTCACAGCAGTGCAAATGCCCCTGACCTGCTGCAAATTCCAGAGTAATTTCTTTCAGCAGACTTCTGTCTGAACACTTATTCTCTGTTCTCTACTCTAGAGCTGATTATTCCAGCCACAGTGGAGTATTGTGCCATTGTCCTTACTTATTTCTAGTTAGGTTTTAAGCTAATTAGTTACTAAATTATATCTTAAAATTGTTGTGGTGGTTTTAAATTCTAGCTCTATCCTACTGTCTGCCTGAGTTCCTACTCAGCTTTGTATTGCCTGAAAATTTCAAAGTTTAGTTGCAGTCTCAGGATCCAGAAGTTTAATAAAAATATGGGAAAACACAGACTGCAGAACAGCTCCACCCCATATTTCTTTCCATCCAAATTCCATTCCCTCCATACAGAATGTTGCCAATACAGTGTCCACCAGCAGAAGTTTCATGAAGACCATATTTCTCCAGCTTCTCATCAGGATCTCATGGGAGAGTTTTCCAGCCTTACTGAAG